TTTTTTTTTTTTTTTTTTTTTTTGGTACCAGGGTCTTTGCGCACGCTTGCAAGGCGGGCAGCGGAACCACTGAGCTAAATCCCCAGCCCAGCCCACAAATGTTCATTTTTTTAACCTGGAATTTATATCTAGTTAGACCAGGCTCATATGAAGAACTGAAGCAGTTGCCTCAATTAACGAAGAATTTTTAAAAAGTAAATTGGACAACTTAACATATAAAACATTCTTAATCAACTGCACATCTGTTTGTTTGTTTTTGTAGTGCTAAGATGGAACCCAGGGCCTTGCACGTGCTAAGCGAGGGCTCTACCACAAGCCTCCTCCCAGTCCTCTGTTTCCTTTAGAGACAGTCTTGCTACGTCACCCAGGTTGGCTTCAAACTTTCGATCCTCCAGCCTGAGAATCCCAAACAACTGCGATTATGGGTGTGTACCTCTGCGCTCAACTAGCTATAGATTCCTAAATTTCTTCTTTTATTTTGCAGCATCTAATAGGTCTCATCACATCATTTCACCAAGGGCCATTCCCACATTGGAGCTCTTCACCTGCGAGTGGATGCAGCAAATAGAATCTGAACTCAATGGAACAACTGTCCTCAGAAAAATGAATGCTACTTTTAGGTCACAGTGTACAATTTGAGAGGGACAAGCTCACTTCTAACCTCAACCCAGCTCCCAGGTGAGCAGGGCCCAGCCAGAAACAAGCTTGGATACCACCATGTTAAATCGGATCTTTAGCGGCTCTGGAAATAGAATAGGCCAGAAGGATCCCCTCTTCCCAAAGGGGCTGTTCCAAAAAACATGAATGCAGACAGCACAGACAGAAGGACAAAGATGGCATCAAATGACAGTTATCTCAGAAGGTGCTCAGCCACAGGTAGCATAGGACAAAAGAAAAGCCCACAGGTTTCATTTCGCTTAGACACTGGCTGTGCACCAGAAGGTCGTACAGAAATTGCATGTACTTCTGTAGGTGACCCAGTCTCCAGGCACATCTGGGACGAACCTTACATGGAGAATGGGACACGGCCTCTCAGGGACAGGCTGAGGTCTTCTCTGTAGACTATTGGTTGCTTCGGGTGACATTTTTAGAATCGGGCAAGTTTGGAGAGCAATAATTGAAGGGATTCCTTAGTGAGTCCTAGTCCTGAGCACACGCGTAATTACCTTCACTTGTCTTTATTAGTCCAGCCTTTCAAGTCCCCCGGCCCTCTCTTATTCTAGGTGAGTTACCTCTGTCTACCAGTTGACTGCACAATGAGAAACTGAGCCACACACGCTCTGTCGTGTCTCCCAGACACTCTGATGCATCCACGCAGTCTGATGGACGCAGCTTCAGAAGCTGGACAAGAGCAAGGGAAAAGCAGGAGGGGTGAGCTTCATTCTGCACCAAGTACGGGGTGACAGCACGCCCCACTGTAGCCTGTCCACCTTTGCACCCTGAGTCCCTGGGCTCCACCAGCATGTGTGAGTCCATCCACTTTTGAAACAGGAAGTAGGCGCAAAGCAGTATTGAACGGGCGGTGCTGGGCAGAAGACAGGAGGGACTACTGGTCCTTTACTTCTCCACTGAGTACAGCATTATCACCTTGTGGCTGCTAAGAGCATTCGTAAGCATAATGTTTCTGTTTTTGAATACGCAGATGTCAGAATTAATAAATAAAGAACTGATTGCATTGATTTTCCTGACGGCACAATCACCATCTGCCTGATCCGCCCACACTGGGCTCCATCCCAGTCCCAGAACATGGGAAGCACGCTCACCCCCGGGCCTTTCCCTGCTCTTCCAGCTGCACACGGCACTCCCTCCCTGGGTGTCTTCAGGGCTCCCATGTCTCTTCCTGCAGTCCACGGTCACAGGCATCTCAGCACAGAGGCTGTCCTGTGCTCCCATTAACTCTGGGTCCCTGAGCATTCGTCAGGTATGCACTCCCCACTGGATTCGCCTGCTACTCCCCTCCTGTGCCCTGACAGTGGCACCCATGTCCTGTTCCCAGCCTCTCAACACTGGCAGTGGAGCCCAAGATGGAAGCAGCGCGTCAGTGGCTGGCGAGAGATGGTGAGCACCAAAGTCTGTGGCCTTGGATATCCGGAATAGCACCAGAGAAGTGAACACACACTCACAATAGGAAGCGCAGAGGCCACCACGGCGAATAGAGCTTGAAGCCCTTTCTGAAAAACAACAGAGCTCCTTCAGCTAAAGCACACAAAATAACTAACTGTCCTCACCAAAGAAGGGGATGGATGGGGAGAAGCGGACGTTTATCAGATCTGCAGTGTAGTTTTAAAGACGTGTTTGTGACTGTTGTGAGGTTATGTAACCGCAGACATTGTCCTGTCCTCTTAATTGTCTGCTTCCGGCTCACCCTGTCCTACGCACAGGCCAGGCCTGGAGGGTCCAGCCCAACTCAGAAGGCCTTGTTTTCTCCCACAGTGCCTATCTGAAAGTGCTTAAATGGTGGAGACTCCAAAACTGCATTTACTTGGTGAGAAACTCCTGTATCAAACATTACACACTCGTGCTTCCTGGAATATGTTTTACACATTTCGGCCGTAGCGTTTCTCACTACCACTGCCTACACACATGCTTGTCGGCAGGTCACGAATCTTGGTAAAAATTTAAGATGGAAGAGTAGAGCATTTTTAAATATGTACAAAGACAAAATGTCCTAAAAACTTTGCTTTAATGAGCGATAGCATCAGTGAGGTAGAACATAAAAAGCAGAACATTTCAATCCGAAAAGACCACACCAATAAAAAAATAAATGATGGTATTCGTCAGTGCACACAGGCTGGCTGGAAATGTCTTCTCCCCTCCAGTCCTCCCTCTAGCTGAGACTGAGGGGCGCTCCGTGTGCTTTTCCCATTCTGCGCACCGCCAGAGGCCGGCAGGGAGGGCCGCCCAGGAAGCTGCCAGGCCTGAGCGCCGCCCTCGGCCTGCCCCACAGTTGGTGTTCCCGACACCCACTCCTCTCCTCTGAGGCGTCTAACCTGCACCCCTTCCGCTGCCACCTCCACGCCTGGCCCCATCCCTGCCAGGCCTTCCTTTAAGAAAACTAAGCTAGAACTAGCAAAAGTGATAGAAGAGTCGGGCAGTTTCCAAAGGCAGAGAGCGGACGTCTGCCCGTGGGTCTCCTTATTACTCTGCCCGGGATACAAACCAGTGCTGGAAACCACGCATCTACTCTCGCGAACTGCGAGGCCATTACCCGAAAAAGCGAGGTGGCGCAGCGTGGCGAACCCAGCTTGTCTGTCCCTGTTGGTGCTGGGTACGCCTCGGTTAAAATAGAAACCGATCCACTTTCATAGGGCCCTCGAGTCGTGTTGTAGCATAAACCGAAGCAGACTCAATGTTCCTCGCCTGATTAATTAGAGTGGGTTTGCTGCCACTTTGGACACGAAGACCAAACCCAACCTAACCAAAGCAAAACCCAGAACCCTCGGCGTTGGCGAAGTCTAACGCGGCGGCGAGGCCTCGGACCCCGTCCCGCCTCAGGCACCTCGCTCCTCGCG